GACACTGCATTATTTTTATATGTATATACGTATTTACTGTTATTCTCAGACTTCTTATTGGAATTGTTCCTTGGATTCTTGACAAAATCGATAGCCCGATGCGGATCAGGAAACCAAAAACTGCTGCACGTTATTTTAAAGAAGGCATCTTTCCCTTTCTCTGTATTTATCACAGGTACAAGGATTTCCTTTTTGACTGCCGATCGCGTGAATACACGAAATCATATATAACAAAAGCTAAAAGCCAATATATATTCCCCACGTACCATGAACTATAAGCTGTAACTAATATACATATAACAACACTGTGTTTATGTTGTTTTCATTCTTAATTTTATTTCTAAATGAACATTTAAGTAGTAGATGTATTTATTATGGAATCCCAGGAGGGCCAAGTGAAATTAAAAAAAAATTAAATTGAAAAATTTGCTTGGCCCTCCTGGGATTCCATAATTTATGTAGTGGACCCTAATTTTTTCGGAACTAATTTTTTCGCCGGTAGCATATCAACCGAAGCACCTTCATATTAAAACTGCAACACGAAATCTAAAACCCTCCGCCTTCCACATTGTTTTTAAAGCAAACTTTGCAATTATTTTTAAAGTTACAGAACTTTAACATTTGGTTTTACAAGTGTTTGGTGGTTATGGTGGTTTTCCCCGACCTGTAGTGTAATATTAAGTCTGTATATTTAATTTGTTTTCTTTCTGGTTATGTAAATAATATATATCATTCAGATTTTATTTTATTATGTCGAAAATAGATCGGCTAGATAATTTCTCTAGATAATTGTCCCTTTGTTATCAAAATTCACTTTACAACACACTGGGCACAGCTGACATAAATATATATTTGAAAATAGAAGTAAAATGTGCATGTATCTGAATATATATATATATATATATATATATATATATATATATATATATATATATATATATATATATATATATATATATGACTTATCTCCTGGCTAATCCATGTGTGTATATATATATAATAATATTTATATAATTTATTGTTGTCTGTCACATACTTCAGCTGGATGTAATAGCGTATGGATTTTACAGTCGACAAAGCGCAAGTACTAGTAAATGGTTCCTGTTTAAATGTCCCGCCCAAAATTCTTGGTTTTTCTTGGCATATAGAATCTAAAGACCGCCGTCGTCATATTCGTCCCTTCACTTTAAGTAGGCCTATACTTCCTAAATCAAAACTTATTTCCAAATATAAGTTGCTACATATATTTTGATTTTATAACGTAAATACTGAATGTCGCAGCTGCGAAAAAGGGGGAAATGTCTTTCATTTCGTGTCACTTAGAAAAATATGTAATATCATCGATGTCAGATAGGTCTCTGATACAACAATTTTACAAGAGATTATATTATTTATTTATATTATTTCATCATTTAAACAAAAACACTAGAGCTTTATTGATCTTTTAGTCCGATTTCAATAAGAGTTTGAAATATACTCATCAGCAAGAGGAGATAAAAAACAATGATTAAACAACAAAATGTTTAAAATGCTCTCCTATTTATAAGTTGCACAAAAACATATTGGCTCTCCTAGGTACTTAAGATTCTTTAAAGCAGCTTAGCAACGTGTTTACGTTTTGAAAAGAATTTATCAGCTCGTTTCATCATTCTGATGCATAGATCTTTTATATTTACCCACTGCTCTGTATTTAAAAAACCGGTCACGTGTATGTTCACATGATACCGGAGAGTGACAAGCACTACATACATCTACCTTTTCTTGGTTTAGAAAAAAAAAAGACACACTTTCGCTACAACATTCCGATAAGCAGCAAAAAGATGTTTCGGAGGTTTGAAGACTTATTTATGGGTTCACAGCTGCCCATACCTGTTGTTTGTTTGGCAGACGATCTTATATCCCGAATCCACGAACTTCCGTATCAGAACCATTCACAAGACTAAATTTATCTGTCTGTAATGTGTGCGTGTGTGTGTCAGATCTAGATAATTTGCAACATATCATTCTATATGAATATGCTTTGTGACAAACAAAACAAAAAACAAAAAGTCGAGTTTAGTTGTAAATGTTTTATGAATCTGAAAAAAATTAATGCGACTACTTGACTTTTTATGACAAAGATACACATGGGATCATTTTACTAGTTCCGTATGCATCAGGGCGTTCCTTTCTGAACCGATTTGTCTGTAAATTGTTCCACTTTTTCAGACTAAGTTAAATTTGGAAAATTTCCTTTTCTAAACTCTATTGCTTCGATTAGTTTTAATTCGCAGTGACGTTTGTGGGCGATTCTGTTGAACGAAGCCATGGGTATTGTATCTTTGTTTTTAACGACTGATTTTTTGCCGGCCGGCAAACAATGAAACGATTCAAAGCGATGAATTCGTCATAGATAGATGTTGCTCTTAGGTGAATAATTTATATGATGGCATAATGGTATGTTGTCAGGTATAGATGTGATTTCATTGCAGTCGCGTTTATAGACAGCGATAGTCATAGTATTGATGATTGATAAGGCTACTGATTTATTCATGAAAGACCACAGAAACAAGTGGGCTAGATAGAAAGATGAATGTAAGAATGAATAAAAAAGGATAAATGAATGAAAGAAAGAAAAAGACAGAAAAGAAAAGGATAAGAAATAAAGGAATGGATATCTGAATTGATGCAAAAAAAAAGTAAAGGGGAAAAAGAAAGAATGAAAAGACGGCTAGGACCAGACAGTAGACAGAAAGAAAAAAGCAAAACAATTGTTTTTGTTATGGATTTCGTAAATTTACATTCATACCGACACTAATTCCCGTTATATACGAAAAATTCAAAACACATTTAAATAAAGGGTACTTGAATCAGTGAACATTTAAAATCGATTAAAGACTCAAAGTCAATGTACTGTCGCCTGAAACTCTCATTCCGTCCACTGTCCAACCCCTGATCCCTTCCCCATCCCCTGTGCAGTAACAACTTAAAAAGCCCATCTTTATTATGCAGAGAAGTCGTTTTTTCACTGGAACTTGACAGGTCGATACACCTGACGCCTTGTTGGACATAGATGAAAAATTATAGCATGGATTAGGAGGGTAATTTACATAGAAAAACAAATATTTGACCTCATCCACGAGGCCACGGCTGTACCTAAACCTGTGAAAAGTGTCATAGTGCCAGTCTATATTTAAATACTTATAAAACAAATTCTATTTTCAGAGACTCTCTGTGTCGTTAAAGGCGTAGAACTAGCGTCACAAACTTGTTCACAAGCATTAATTATTACACCGTGGCATTTCCTGTGTCCTTAGATGATACGCAAACGAATAGAATCATACTGAGACGGTACATAAACATTTTTTCTAGCAATATCTTAAGACATAAACTAATTTCTTTAGTTTTTTTATTTGTTTTATTTTATATTATTTATTTAAATAGTTGCGTATTTTTTTGCCCATTGATGTGACATGTTAATTTTAAGGTCCATCAATGTTTTTCTGCGTCGCACACAAAAACTTCACCTCAATCCCGTACTTGTACGTCAACAAACTTCCTCCAAACCAAACCGCCTTTCTTACGAAACCACTATAACCCAAGCAAGGCATACTTGATTATCTTTATCGTAACATACAAACATCTGAAATGTTATTTTTTGATATCAGACACCTAAGATCATTCTATTTCAATTCTTTAAGGCCACCATTATGGTGAAGAAAACACCTAGATTAAACCCCACGCGTCAAATCTACATGTGTTTGTAATGTTCGAAGTTATAATTTTCTGTCCTCAACAATATCACCTGATAGACTCCTTCAAAACAGAAGTGTCATCTTCAATTAAGCAAGGCATTTCAATGACTATTGTAGAGCCTACACACTGCATTGTGGCGGTGTAGCTTTATTTGCGCTGATTGTAGTCGCTATAGTACAGGGGTACTTAAAATATATGTGATTACCAAGGGTACATATCGGAAGGACAAATATTTGTTGGTAAACAAAGGAAAATTTATTAGCTAAAAGATGTACAATCCAAGTGAAAAGTTAGATGGTTTTTTTAGCAATCTACCACTACTAACTGATCACCTTAAAATTTAATTCACTAGCAAATTTAAACCTATTAGAATACAATTCATTCGAGTTTCACAACTTAATAGTCTACAGATTCGCTCACGGAAGAATTAAATGCTCAATGTTTTACAGTTATTACCAGATGGGTACTTAAGTCATTTTGATAGTGTTCGAAAACGACAGCTCTTCTGACTTCGAGGATAATTTTAATAAAAACTTAAGGTACACATTTGGCCGCACGGTGGATTCTTACCCTCACTCCCGTCCACCCCCCCACCCTCCACTGCGCCCAATGACGAATAAAATTAGGCAAAATGTTGATCCCTTTGCGCCTCCTCTCCTCACTGGCAAAATCCTGTATCTGCAAGAGGCTATTGAAAGATGTTGTTTCAGCACTAACCACTGTTTGATAGACCTGCTAGAGCATCACATTCTTTGTTCGACAATTACAGTGACGCTTGTTCTTTGTGACAAATGCTAGGTATAACAACCTGCCAGGAAAATTTTCAGGACACAGCATAGAAATGAGTAAGTGAAGAGGACAAAATGCAATATTGTGCTGCAGGCAGACGTAGAAGTTGTTTTAATTCGTATGTCACTGTTTATTCTCGTGGCATGGACGCGTGCTTAAGAATGAGGCGCCCGAACCTGAAATGTGTGGGGGGCTTTTTTTTTTATCCATCCGTCTGCTGTGTTTTATATTGGTTGTGTGCGTCTTTGAGTTCCACCTGCGCGTTTAAAATAGCACAATTAAAGAAATGACAACAGTGGCCTTAACTTCCATCCAAAGAAAGTTTAAGCAGAAAGACGTGTTTTTAACATTCACCAATTTTTCACATCCAGTAGCATACAAGCCTGTCTCGTAGCAGTGACGTTGTGATGACGTCAATGCCTCGGTGCGCTCTCATTGGGGGTAAGCGCTTACTGGATTGACGAGTCGGTTCTCACACAGCTGCGAAGACCTGTCTGCCAGGTGAATGAGTCAGGCCACAGAGAGGGCACAAGGAAGAATGATTCATTGCTCGGCAAAAGGGAAAGTTGTGTCAAGGGGCGGTCCTGCCAAGTATATAAACTGGAGACCTGAGCGATGGAGATCAAAATCGAAACGCAAACAGAGATCAAAAGACGCAATCGCATCTAAAGCTTACTGATATATACGAAAAGTTGATAGCTTTTAGGTATACCTGAACTGTGTCTACGCGATATGCTGTTCAATAACAATTCAGAGATGTCTCTCGCTACAGCTAACTACGACGATTTCGGTATCAACCGCGACTTTCAGCCGCAACAACAGCAGGGCGACTGCTGTTTGGTTCGATCTTTCTCTATATCCCGTAAAGGCCTTCTCAGCCGGGGCGATTCCGTCAAGAGACGCTCTGTGATCAGCACTGGCTCCAGTGACAGCGGCGTCTGCAGCGAGCCCGATTTGACGGATTGCAAAGATTTCAGCGGCAGGTGAGTTGATACATTTGTGTTGATTAGAACAGAAGTACAACATATATGTCACGGTATTAGTCTGATGCTCGGTTTTATGTCAGTGCACATGTAGTTGGAAGAAAAGTGGAACCTTGAACAGAAATGCACTGAGAACACCAGCTGATCCTTGGCTTTCGTACAGAGACAGCAGATAGTCTTTAAGAGTATAAATATATTCCTAGCGAATATTGCTGAATTTTATAACAAAATCAGAAACTTGTCAACCATTAGTCTTAAGTGTAACGAACTTAAAACAAATAAAAGGGTAATTCAATTGTTTTGTATAAAAAAATAATGTAACGTGACTTAGAGACGGTGGATCAAACCGGACATGAATTTCAATTTGCTTCGTCTTCTTTTTCTCATCAAATCCAGAGCAAAAGGCCCAAACACCATTAAGTTCCATTTTATTGAAAATACCAGATTTGCCTTTAAAAACCTCGATCGAATTAGAACTGGCTGAAGGTCTGAAATTGCAGACAATTATTACAGCTTGCCATCTACTGCATCATTGCCCTCAATATAGTGAACCAGTTCGCAGTGCTGATTGCTTCATAGTGACTTTTGAGATTGCTTAAGAAATGTAAATCCTAATCTGTACATTACAACCTGCGCTGAGAAGAATGTGGAGCGAGGTTTTAAATACTTATTATTATTATTATTTCAGACATCACGTCGTTGTGTATGGCTCAGGGGGTGTGGGAAGAAGCGCTCTGATTTCACAACTCACCAAATCCGATAGCAGCGATACTGACTCTTGTAAGTCTAGAACATACAAACAGAGAGAGAGAGAGAGAGAGAGAGAGAGGAAAGGGGGGATAGAGAGAGAGAGAGAGAGGGGAAAGGGGGGATAGAGAGAGGGCGAGACAGAGCTGTACTTATTTGAAGTTGAACTGTTTCACTTGTGTTCTACTGTAAGTGCGTTGCATATCACAAACAAACGTGTGTGGGATTATGATAGATTGGACAGGTTTAAACTGCCAAATTATTCTCCTTGGTGAATACTGATAGATAAAGAGGAAGATAGAGTAAGAGAGAGGTTGGGAGCGAAAATAAAAGTATTTTAGCAGAGACCACTGGGAAATACAGCTCATTGAAATATCCCGTTGGTATTCAGACTTGTGGAATATCAATATGTAATGCTTTTAACGCCGCTAGAAATAACTTTCTGTCAGTAACAATATATCTGGCAGTTGGAAATCAGTGGTAAATATAGCAAACAACAAGGTACCGTTTCCGCTGAAATTTCGAAATTTTAATATCCAGTGCTTTTATCGAGGCTGAAAATAGCATTTTTGTCAATAACAATGAGCAGTTATTATTAAACGCGTCCTGTTTTGGTTAGAATATTTTATTGATTGAGCTTCACTTAGACGCCTAGATGAAATCAAGATGATGGGAAATCGATGGGAGATTAAACAAAAGAATGGAAATTTATATTACAATATTGAAGTAGAAGGGTAATAACGCCGTGATTCAATCATAATAATGCCCACACGCCACGTGCTTTGACTTGTGAAATAACGAAATTGAAGGGAAATTACTTGGCCGTACGCTGAATCCGAAATCTGCTAAAATTGGGGAATGATGCCAAAGTTATTTTGAAAGCATGAAATATTTTATCCAAGTTGGTCTCGAATATAAAGACACACTAGGCACTGGGTTTCAAAAGTTGCATTAACAATTTCTCTTGCAACAACAGCTAACTTATTTCAACTCTAATATTTCAGTGTCTGACAAGACACCTTTTTAATGGGTTGTTACAGGTGTAATTGTTTAATTTTAAAATTTGTAAATTGGGGATTATAGTACTCCTCCTCCCTTCCCTCTATCCAAAAACGCTAGGCAGAGGTCAAAGAGATTGGTTCCAACGTTTCTGTTGAAACTTGGTTCTTCTTATACACTGAAATACTGGAATGAAACTCTGAGTTGGAGAGCAAATAAGCATGATGAATTAAGATTTTGCTTGAAGAAGAATCCATTATTATATCTGTGAGTGCATAACCGATGAAATTCTGTACTGGATTTCAGAGGGTTAATTTTGAGAGCTTTGACTCACTAGAGCTACTCAAAAAGTCTTAGACCATGTCCGATAAGGACGAAAAATCGGGCCTTGAGCAGATACCAATGCTGTTATAAACGGATGAATCATTGTTTAAAGTAGTCACTTTATTAAAACAGGTGAAGTTTACACGTGTGGATTTTTATCTCTTCTCTCTTGGCGGGTCGCTTTTCTGGCATCAAAACACTCTCTGTGCTTCTTAAAAGCCACAAGCTAAGCTTCTGCGGTAAGACAAGCGGTTTAAGGCGTTGGTGCAAAACATCGCCGTCTTCTAACAAGTTCACCCCCTTTAATCGCGAGAAGCTAATAGCGCCTCTTCTTGTATATAAACTGCCTTGTTGTGGCGTAATCTGTAACACGTGAATTTAATATAGCACTGTGGCTACTGGAATCCCATTGACACACCATCTGCTGCAAGGTACCTGATTTAATGTATCGACAGAGGTTTGAGCACTGGTAATGCCAACCTAGTCTCTGCCATCAGTGTTAAGCATACCCAGATGTTTTTGACATTAAGTTCCCAACCAGCAGACAGCTCTGACGTCATTGCATGTGCCATGGTTTAAATTTAGAGTCAGGTGTATATTAAGCGAGTAGTTTAAGTTAATTTATTTACTGAAACCGCGATCAGTTATAGTTTGGTTGGATTCGATCCGAAAATATACAACATTAGGCCTAAGGCACGATTTTAAGCTTTTGCCTGTGACTAATAGATGCGCTCTTTACAGTACTTGGATCCTGGAGCCACAAACATGTGACAATAACGGTGCATCAAATACGAACTGATTTAATAGACACACTGGACAAAAAACTGCTGCATAATAAATAACCACGACCTGTCTAAAAATACACGAGCACAAATGAATCTTTGTGCTTTAATTATGAATAATCGAATGTGATTAACGGGTTGTCTTGTCTGAGATGAAATGGTTAATTGTCTTTCTATATTTAGATTTGTTGAAATAATGAAAGGTGATGGATTAACCAGCTTAAGGCCTAATCATATATTAATGTTACGATTGTTTCGTGTACTAATTAGTTCCATTTTCCCCAGGCGATGAATCAACTCAATTGACTAACATGGTGGTCGTAGAACTGGATGACGAAGAAGCCGAACTGTGCTTTGTGGAAAGCCAGGAAACAAAGGTACAGATTTGCTACAAACTACGTACTTTTCTGAAACAAACAAAAGAAATAAGTGTGTTATCGTACGTTATGTATTGTGGTACTGTAACATACTTTGACCTTATCTTTTACCAGCCAGTTCAACTTACAATGGAAGCGAATAATAATTCCCAGTCCAAATATGATTCATACTCTGTAAATCACTGATTATTCAAAATTTATAACTTAACTTATTATGTGAACCCACTTAGCCGTGCCTTAATAATGGCGGTGGCGAAGTAATTTTTTATGTCATTGTAGTGATTGTGTTTTTCGTTTTAATTTTACAAATTTAAGATCATATAACATTCTTGAATTGCGTATATTTACAGGAAATTCCGTACGCGGATGCGTATATCATAACGTACAGCATTGACCACCGTAATTCATTCCGCTTTGCCCGCAACGTACTGCTCAGCCTCCGCCAAAGTGTTGGAGAGTCAAAACCCGTGCTGCTTGTAGGATGTAAGAGTGACTTAGAGAGAACACGAGAAGTACCGGTGGAAGGTAGGCGATACGATAGTTGCTTTTACTACAGTTGTTTGGACTTCTAATGGCTTCTCGTTGCCAAAATGGCGGATCCGGATTCGGGATGTACAGAAAAACCAACTCTTCCCAAAGCAAAATGGGTCCGCCAATTTTCAATATCTTCTTATGCTTATTATTGGGCTATAAAGAGATACACAAATCGTCATACCAGTAGTGGTTGCTGAAAACGCTGACCATTTCAACCGAGAGGTGTTATGTTCAGCGGTTGGCACATGAAGCCTTCTACATAAAATCTTTTCAATAAGCTTATAATGAATATTGTATATAATATGCGTTTAGTGCTCAGTCCTATTATCACTATAGCCCTTAATTTTAAAAGTATTATAAAAGTAATTTTTTCACTTTATAGATGCCAGAACACTTGCCTTTGACAACCAAGCGAAGTTTATCGAAGTTTCCGTACTTTTGAACTTCCACGTTGACGAACTACTGGTAGGCACGCTGACCCAGATTCGGTTAAGAGAGAAGTGGGACATGGAAGACGTAAAACTATCGCCAAAAAGCAGACAATCGTCTTCCAAAGGAGCGAAAGGACTGGTGAAACGTTTCCTTAAAAGAAACTCATCGAAATCCAAGTCGTGTGAGGATCTGTACGTGCATTAGAGAAATGGTGGACAAAACATGAATTTTAATTATAAGTCCATGACAGCCTTCAGAAACAAAATCTGCTTGGACTATAAAGGAATACTTTTTGCAATTTCCTATGGTGACTTCGAGTCAAAGTCTATATTGCAACCATGATGGGAAATCTTATACGAACAAGTGCCATTAGATGTCACATAAAATGCTATGCAATCTTAAGAAAGCTATATCTCCCCGCCATTTGGCAATCTCCAGCGCCAGTTTTATATTGTTTCACCAGATACCTTGTACATATATGTATGATATTTGTATCTCAATATTAAAACATTCCAAGCCTATTATATGAAATGAATATGTCATGTATAAAGATACACCAAGAAAGCCGCCCGTACATGCAGATACCATCAATTCATATCCATTTCAGTTTCGTTTCATAATTATCCTAATTGCGCTGATGAATAATATAAGCGCGTTCATTCACCTGTCTTAGCAAAAGCAAACACATTGTTCATTTTGTATTTGTGATTCACCCGTTTCATCATATCGCGCTGTTGACGCCATAGGTTTTATCGATTTTATGTCACTTAGTGTATCCGTTTTACCTATTGCTCATTTCTCTACTGAGATATGCGACGTTTAAGTTGCAATCTACTAGGGCAGCATTGCTGCATGGTTCTTTGTTTCTGTTGATTGAGCCGCGGGTAAGATAATGAGTGCGTGGCTATAATGTAGCTTAGTCACATTACATAGGAACAGATTTTTCTTCTTCGATACTTTTCCATAATAGGACAGCTTCCCTACCATTCTCTGTAAATGTTTATTACCTGTATTATGCACCAAATATAAGTTCGCACTATTGATTATACGAGGGAAACTAGAGCAAGTGAGTTTGCAGTCATTTTTTACAAATATCGATAAGCCAGACAAAAGTATTTGTCCTGGAATATTGCTTTTGCCATTGATTTGCAACAAACCTTTTGTTTTAGAACAATTGTCCTGGCAACTCGTTTGTGTTAACTTTGAAGTCTGCACTTCATTTTGAAAATTGACACATTTAGATGGATTCTTTGTTAAGTTGAGCGTCCGTCTTGAAACTGAAACGCGGACACTGGCGAAACCTTTAGAGCAAAAGCTCTTCGACGCTCACCTAGTGAAGCTTGCTAGTGAGCACTAAATGCCATTTGTACTTCATCAACTCCAGAATATCACGGTTGAATCACAATGATGTAGATGAATTGTAATGCAGTTTATAAATTCTGTTATTTTTATCAAACAATAACTATTTCTACTTTTGTACAGTTGGACACCTTCTTGCAATAAATGATGAGAATATGTACATCTCGTGTTATGTCTCTTTTATTTTATTAATACTGTGATTTGGATTAATATACCATATGACAATTCCGTTATTCTCACTAGTCAAAGCACCAGCTTATATCGCAGCTTGAAGCTCTAAGATACAGTACCAAATTGCCATCATACTATTTGCAGGTGATTCTTCGTTAGAATTTTGATTAGAAAATTTGCCATTAACGTCGTTTTGATAATCACCATCTTTGAGAAGTTGGACATAAATAAGGCAGAGAGTTTGCAATTATATCACAAGGATATTTAACTGTAATGATGATTTAGAAAATGCAGTCGATGGTGCATTTGTGTCTAGAAAGGTACGAAACCCAACGACCCGATTTGAAAGCCCTTACTGAACTCTCCAGTCGCAGGGTAAACTTTGACAGATAGGCCGTTTCTCACGCACTTGGATAAACATTTACCAGTGGTTTTATCTCTACCACTTAAAAAAGGAGTTCTAAGGGGATCACTGTTTGGATTTTAGTCAAGGGTCTTGTTCAGTTTATTATTATTATTATTACAGCTATCATCACTGGCTGGTCCACATTTTTGGTGTAANAGTCGCAGGGTAAACTTTGACAGATAGGCCGTTTCTCACGCACTTGGATAAACATTTACCAGTGGTTTTATCTCTACCACTTAAAAAAGGAGTTCTAAGGGGATCACTGTTTGGATTTTAGTCAAGGGTCTTGTTCAGTTTATTATTATTATTATTACAGCTATCATCACTGGCTGGTCCACATTTTGGTGTAAGGGGGGGGGGAGGGGCAACAAATAAAATGTTGACTCGCTTATCTCCACAAATATACAGAAAAACAGAAAACGGTTTGGCACCATTACGCCTCATTACGCCTCTGGATGTAACATTGCATGTTCGTTATTTTAGCTAATTGTTCATGGTTTTTTTGCAGTTTACAATGCTCCAATGCCATCTATGTGTATAGATGACAACTTTGTTTATTTTTTTGTTGATAAACAATTCTATATCTTTTATTGCTAGATAATTTTTCATCTTTTATTGTTAAACAACATATGACTGTGAACGTACCTAACGTTGCCGTTTACGAAAGCTGATTAAAGCTTTCCCTTTTGTAACTCACTTTGTATAAGGTACAAAAGTACTCATGTACTGAAAAAGGTACATACACCCCAAGCCAAACACGTTTTATCCTGTTGTTTTGTTATAAAAACAACTAAATCAATTTCTTGTAATAAGGCAGATCCTGAGGAACATCCATCAACTGGGACTATTCCTGTAGATCAAAACCCTTCATTTTCTCGTCATGTTTTTTTTTTTTTTTTTTTTTTTTTTTTTTTTTTTTTTTGTCAGACTCAAACCTGTTGAAATTCGCTTTCAACTTGTCTTGCGACTTTTGCGAGCATGATCAATTCGACGTTCTATGGGACAATTTCAGATGAACCTGTGATTGTAATGACAAATGTACACTGTAGCAGATAAATATAGTGAACGCCACTACATCTTAACGCTGACAACGTGCAGTTTCCCTCAGTTCCAATGTTGAGATATATTATTGTGTTACTGTACAAAAGACAAAACACATGACCTGATCGACTCTTCCGTTTACTCAAAAGCATGCTCTTAGACAGTAGAAGAGGTTAATCAGTGCCTTTAGCGGGTTACAGAGCTTGTAATAGACGCTGTAAACACTTGATATAAGGACACGCTCTTAGCGTACGCCAGATATCAGAGCCTTAATTTGAAAACTTATCGGTCAACTAGGTTCTCTTTCTGGTCTATTACATCTTCTTTGAAGAGGGTGATCGGGTAATAGCCGATCTTTCACTTGACATTTGAACGCCTGTGCACTGGTTTAAAAGCTGACGTCGGCAACAGTGTGTAAGCTCAAGCTCTTGCAGCCATATTCTTGCAGGCTTTCACTCAGGAGGTTGAGGTTTAGTTAGGGACTCAAGGAAAAAATAATAACAAAGTAGCCTAGATTAACTTACTTTAATAGAAATATAAAAGGCATATGGATGAAAAATCGATTGGTTTTTTTTCTCGTTTTGCTTGTTATATCTTTTATTAGGGGTAGGAGTGGAGAAGTAGGTGCTGCTGTATGTTTGCCGACCGAAGGAAATCATATATGTTTTATACATGTGCCTCAGAGGCGGACGAAAGCCGTCTTCTGGGTTTTCCGGAAGACGGTCAGGTTTTTTCATTGACGGCCATCTAATATTTTCTGTCAGAAGACAGTCAAAATAGAGGATACAATTTTGAAGACTGTCAGAAAATATTTCTCGATGAGCCCCTGTGCCACCCCCCTTCTCTTCGCAAACTTTTGGATCCGCCAGCGACACATACCGTGTATAACTACCTGTGGCATTATGTTCTTGTTGCATACTGATCGCAAAGTACACGTTTACTTTGCCATGTCAAAATAAACCATACAGATGCACGAGGTTAATTGTGCCACGATATCCAATTCGATCAATAGGAAATGATTGTTCGATAGACGCCAAAACAAATACAATATGAAATATCTATTATTGGCAACTAACGCAAATAAAATGGTCTGTTATCATTATCATTATTATTATATTTTTATTTTTTGGCATAGATTCATTTAAGGAGCTTTATTTTTGATAACAAATTTGAGCACTATACAATTGTTGAAAACTTTGGATATAAATGATGTAAACGTTAAATATCCCCTTTTGTCGACTTAAAAGTACACTAGTAATTACTGTTGACCTTAAGAAATTTCCAGCCATTCCGTACAGGTAGGCATCGAAATTCGACCTTGTCATAAAGCTGTTCTATTCACATAAATCGTGAAAACTTCCTTGCAGGAAAAACATGTTGTGCTATTAGTGAATACATCAGCGATTACCCATTATACAATAACGTTATTCACACGGCTTTCTGCAACTTCCTTATGCCCTGCAGGGTGGTATCCAGTGCATTTCGTTGGCGTTTCTTAGACATTTGAAGAAGTAGTTTCTGTGGGTTTTTTTCTCTTCTTTTTTGGCACCGTTCAAGTCGAGTGTGCTCTCAGTTAAAATGATATATCGCCTACTTTAATACTACGTGCCCTCGTTGGGTATGATGTACAAAAACTAATAGATCAGAAATAGTTCAAATGCGTCTGATTTGTACGTTTGTCAAACTTAAATGCGCTAAATGTGCTAGATATATATAACCGGGTATGATACACAAATACTAATAAATCTGAAATAATTTAAATGCGTTTGATATCTACGCTTGTCAGAAATAAATGCCCCATATGTACCCAGCATGTGATGCACTCATCTCTTTTCGGAAGCTCGGCAAGGGGCTTTTTTTTCTTTTTGCGGTCGTCCTGAAATGTATAATACCTTAATACCTGAACCTAATTGTAAGCGTCTTTATAAAGCATTCTGTGCACTCATCACTCATTGTGTTTGGCATCTACGTGCACATTACGCCTACAATCGACTGAACACTAAGTAGACCCAATCAAAACCTTTAAAACTACACTGCACCACAGGCTAAATGGTACTGATGGTACCTCTGCGCAGTATTTACAGCGTTTATCAGATGCGGCAATACAAACCCCTGTAACAGGCAATGCATCACTTCCCCATGCATGAAATGAGCATGATATTACATTGTTAAACGTACTATCATGCAGTGTCTACACTTCCTGAGCAGTTTTTATTTCAAAAATACGAATCTGCCCAAAAAGACAAATTCATATACAATTTGTTGTTTTGGCATGCGTGTTTAGATCCAAAACGGTAACATGGCCATTTGTACCTTAACAGATATATTCGTCATTTACTCATAAATAATAAAGCATCTTGGAATTTTGATCAAAGGCGAACTTTTCGGAAAGAGAGACTGATGTAAACTACTGTGGCACCGCTGTCTGTTACCTGCGCGTTTGATCTAATCGATGGATGGATGTCTATTAATTTGGTCAAAGACGCAATTTTCTCACGGGCATATCTTTTCCAGCAGATAAATAAATAATGCCCTCTGGCCGTCAGCGCATCATCACAACTTCTCCATTATCAAGGGTGCTCTAGGTACACGTTTGGAAGGTTTCCCTCAACAGCTGTTTTTCCTAAACAAAAAATGAAGTCCGATTCCTCAAGGCCACGACTGCATTGCCAGATAAACAAACACTCGCAGCAATGGTTATGTAACACGGTTTTGGATAACATTGGTTTCTTACTTCCTTCTTTGTATTCCAACTTGCGCCGTGATCTCTACTCTGTGTTCAAAAGAAGTTGTCAAAACTTTGAAAATTTTAGCAACAAAGATAGATTTGCCACTCTAATGAACAGCGACAGCTATAAACCTCAGGAAGCTTTGCAAAGAATTGATAGTCAGCCTTTCAGTGTTGGACTGTGTGGTACCCATCAACATTAAGTCACTGCAAGAATTTGGAATTAATTTCATTACTGATATTTTTTTCTTGTGTACAGCATTATCATTAATCCATTACTTAAATTGTACATTCTCAGTTTGCATTTAATATGTTTGTTTGCGATGAATTATACAATGCCACTGCATAAAAATAAATTCTTCTCGTGGAAAGACGAATTAAGTCTTTCGCTTCTCTCTCACAGATAATACTGTATCTGGTACCTATATTGGTTGCTGTATTGATTTTTGTATGATCTTTGGCGAATTCTGTAACGTACATATACAAATCAACTTCCGGGTCTTTTTCTAAATGAAGCTTCTTTTCTAAAGGCCAGTCAGACCTGTGGGAATGGGGTCATTTGGTTGATATTAATTTTGAATGTAGCAGGAAGAAAACGAAAATATCCATCGGAAAAAAGCAAAGGAACGGAATATCTCACGAGAGGTTAAACAATTTTGAAGATTGTTCACTCTGTTAAAGCCTTGAATGTGACTTTATGCTTGAAATTGTCTACTTAACTCTTATCGGGCATTAAAATACATACAGTGTGTAAGGTAATATACAGTATGTTCTATTTATACAGGCTAATTGCATGATTGGTAGTAGATTCCTATCCTTTACAAGGGCTGCAGATTAATTATGTGCACTTTTCTCCAACACGTGCAGAAATACACGTGAAATACATGTGAATATTCAGTGAAAAATCAGTCTGTGGCCCTGGTAGAGGGCAGTAGATTCCTCTTTGTCGCTTCTTTAAAGTGTGCGTCTTTGAAAGTAAAATAAATTCGTGCACTCCTCTCGCCATCTTTTTGCCTATTTGTTCGACAATTGGGGCCAATCTACTCCCTCTGTTGTCCCGTCCATTGCCAATGTAACAGAATATACAGAACGCCAATGTTCATCGACAACACACGTGCTGCTCATTTGGTATTCTGTGGTGAGCTAATCGCAATGAAAAGGTCTGTTACCGAGTTAGGTGGACTGAACTGTAGGGGAAAAACACGACTTGTGATACGTTTAATTGTAGTTAGAAATTGGGAATTTAAACTTCATTGCAAAGCCTACAGATGGCTGTTTTTGTCCCATGAAGAAATTAAATTTTATACATGAGGTTTATGTATAATTATCTTATTATACTGGACACTGTATATAGAGGTTACTTTTCTATAAAGATGGTATATCTTATTATATATAGGACTACAGATAAAGGTAATAAAAAATACTATTATGCAAAAATATCTATTTATATATTGGACATAATCTTATTACGAAACTAACATTTTAAAATGAAAATAGAGCAAGTTTGGTGATTGATAAGATTTATAGGACTTCGGGATGGTATTTAATGACATTTTAATTACATTTCTTATCCAAAATACCAATAAAGCTCAAAATCACGCACTTTGTGGTGAGAGGCTTCCAGACAAGACGATATCGGTAGATGTATCTAGAACATTCGTTTTTGATTTTGATAGCATTTTAAATGATGGGCCGGAGAAGTTGAACTTGGACATCCATTCCATTTTATGAAAAGCAACAGTGGATCCAAGTAGGGGTGCAGAGGTCAACATATCCCCTTTACCTCTGGACGTTTCCCGTTTTCTTGCCATCTCCACCCTACGAAACAGTATGATAAGCGAAACGAGTCAAAAACAATGCCAACAAATTTCCCCAATCCTGTGTACTTAATATCATTGTCATTGTCCTCGTCAACTCAAAATAAAGAATTCGCGAGTGAAAGTGAAATATAGAGGTTTTTTATGCCTCAATCATTTTATTATTAATATTGTTTGCTTGCCAAGACATTTTATTCGCACTGGTGACAACAGAATGTCGTTAGTCGCATGTCGTAAGTTCATTATTGATCAATCCGTCGAAAAGTGCACTTAGACCAATATCACTTTATTAAGTCGGCTTTCCGACTTAAACAGTCTTAGCTCAATACAAATCAAAAGTTATTTTTTAAAACAGAGCAATGCAGTATTGCTTAAAACATCGACAACACACTGTAGATAGAAAAGACAAGACTCCCGTTGCGTTAGGTGAGATCCAAATGCAAATGAGTCATTCTTTCTTTACAGACATTTCAGTTTGATGGCATATTGTAATCCATCAGCGGTGGCATATTGTCATCCATCAACAGTGGGTCTTTCACCTCGCCTGAGATTCCATGCCAATTAGTAATTGATAAACATAACTAATCATGATATCCTCTAAATGCAATATGCAGCCCATGAAAAGAAGTTGGGGATAAATTTACAGTTTGACAGACAGAAAATATCAAACCCAATTTAAGAGCATCAGTAGCCTAAGTTGAAACTGATTTTGACATGAAATTCTCTGTAATACGAGCTCTCTCTCTCTCTCTCTCTCTCTCTCTCTCTCTCTCTCTCTCTCCTTCTGGTATAAGTTTTTATACAGATGATCTTCACAACACATTGCTACATACACGATTCCTGGTTGTTATTTTCCCTTCAATTTGTAATACTTAGTGGTTTTCAAAACAAAAACTGACCAACTCGATAAACTAATTAGCATAACTAATTATAATAACGTCTTAATGCAATGTACAATTTTGACACGCTTCCTTGTACATGTACTGGCATTTGTATAATCTTCCGTGTATGCGTGTATATGTGTATAGTCTTCCATGTATTTGTGTATATATGTAACGTTCACGCCCTGAGTTTCAGAGATCACTGGAACCACACAAGAAACATTAAACAGCAGAGACATACTGATAAAAGAAACGAATCTTAGGTAACCACTACGCGCAGGGTGTCAATATTTCAAACTCTATATAAAAGCATATTGACGTTGTAGATGTACGTAGGCGCTGAGTCGGACCAATCCTTGGTGCTTCACGGTGCACGCTAAAGAATGGGAAATACGCCACCTAGTGAAGTACAGGGGGATTGAAAATGTTTGGAATTGTATTGATGGGTCACGAAATGACTCGTATTTTCTGGTAGGCTTTAATTCCCATGTTATTTTCAATTGTGTGGATGATTTGCTGTTTTAAGAGAGAAGGCTAATGCCCTCTCTCTCTCTCTCCCTCTCTCTCTCTCTCTCTCTCTCTCTCACACACACACACACACACACACAGGCAACGATTTAGAGGTGGGGGTAGATTCAAAATTCAAAAATTCGCACACCATTCATTAACGACAGTTACGAGTAGTTGGAGAGTTCAAGGAAATTTCAAGCATCCCACAACCGGCACAGGTGTTCAAGCAGAGAGGCATGCGTAATAAAAAACCTTTAAAGTAACGATTCGTGTCCGTGGCGACGCCAGGTATTAAATTGTGTTGAAGGTAACATTATAATTTATGATGCAGATCTGATTCTTTGAACCACATCCAGGCCGCATATTTACACTGCAATCTATCTATCTATCTATCTATCTATCTATCTTGCTTGCTTGCTTGTTGTTTGTTTTTTTGTTTTGTTTTGTTTTGTTTTGTTTTGTTTTGTTTTGTTTTGTTTTTGTTTGTTTGTTTGTCTGTTTGTTTGTTTGTTTGTTTTTCTATCTGCATTTTTTTTAATATTGCCTGAGCTGGAACGCTGTTCGCACATCTTACACAAGATGTTCCCCTTTAATAATATCTTTAATAATATCACCAAATCAGATTCTTTTGATACACTCTGTACCTGGCCATGGCTTGCATTTTTTCGCATCTCCGCGATTATCTATTATTACACCGAGTTAGTCATGATTCACAAATAGCACATGCTGTAATACATATATGTTAGCCAATGTATGTATATATAAGCCTTGAACTTTTCCAGAAAACGCGAAGACAAGAAGGGTGAGCAACCTTAACAGCACAGCAAAACAATTACGTGAGGCGAACACAACGCTGCTTCTGTTGCTGCGATACCTTTGCAGTGATTCCAGAGAAAATCAAACCGCATCTGCAGATAGACATCCAAGCTTAATTCACTTTTCTACGATTAGAGCTTGGCTTTGAAGAGGGAATCTAGCCTATTCATCTGCATTGATATATAACGACAGCGATTGAATCAGCGTAGTTTCTGGTAGAAACCGGTGCATCTCAATAGCGTTGAGGAGGGAACGCGACAAGCAGCAGAAAGTGGGTGAATCGTTATCGTGTTTAAACGCGTTTCGAACGAGAAACCGTATAAAAGAGACTGCGAATATCAGATATGCCGGAGATGGCGATGTCCCTTCTGAAAATACCTAACGCTGGAGACAATCTCCAGCGCTCCAGATCAGCGGGAAATGTAAGCGACTTGGAATCAAGGAAAAAACCACAGATTCAAGATGGGGACACATACGTGGTGCGAGAGTTCGTCCTTTCCCGCAAAGGTCTACTCGGACGTGGAGACTCTTTCAAAAGGCGATCCATTGCAAGCACGGACTCTATGGAGAGTTTAAATTCTCGAAAATCCCTTGATATTAACACCAATGGATCAGCTGTACAGGCCACAGAGCCAACACCGAAACGATACGTATATCTTCTAGGGGCTAGCGAAGTGGGGCGAAGCACTCTCGTTCGTCAGTTTGCCACGTCCAGATCCGTGTGTTTAGATTCTCCGACCACCCCCGCTCCAGATAAAATCCTTTCCAGTCCCTTCGTGATGGGTATGTGTATTTATTTATTTATTTATTTATTTATTTATTTATTTATTTATTTACGTTGCAATTTCCCCATCCTTCCCCTGTCTAGAATATATTACATTGTGAAAGTGCTTTATGTGATCACATTTTATTAGTCAGTCTGTATCTATCGTAGGTGTATATATCTAAGTAAGTAAGACAAGCAACGAGCTGGAAAGGCTATTCCACATGAAGCAAATGTTTCAATGTAGGCCTAATAGCTGTCCATATAGATACAAACGCACACATAACATGAAGAAAGTATCTCTGCGGCTATTCAATGATAAATTGTAACTATATGCTGGATATCATTACGATTTAAATTCCATTCACATATAACTAGATTTTCTTTTGATTGATATTGTGTATACATCCAGTCATTGGATTAAACCAGTATCTAGAAAATTTGTCGAAAATTTCTCACATATTTGCACTGAACTATGCATTTCCTTTGGTTAAAATGGCTGTGTTAAACCTGCATCTTGGCAGAAATAGTATTTCGTCTGAATAAAACAGCCAAAGACTTAATATTTAAATATATTATTACCCATGTACCTTTGTTTTCTGTATCTCATAAGCGTAAGTTCCACGACAATAAGCTGATTGTAGTCTATGTGCATCGTTTTACTTCACCACCCTGAAATTCAGAGGCAATCTTTGTGCTGATCTTTAAAATACAGATTCTATTTTTGAATGGCAAAACTAGTTTGCGAAAAGTTATTTTTTCCATTGCAAAAATATGCAGTTTGTTACAATTTTTTCTTTAGAATAACATCAGATAAAAGGAATCTGTTGTCTTATATGTGAAAAACTGCCAATTCACCAGAAAGAGCTTTGCCGAAGTGGGCAACATCAAAAACAAAGAACGCTTCAGCCGGAGTCACCGAATAAATTGGCCATAACTTACCATTTCTTTGGACTACTTCAATTCGGGATACATGCACATCCATAGTAGTTTATTATAATAACGTAACCGTTTATCTGAACATATTGGCCATTTTTTGGATATAAAACAGTCGCAATATTCCTTTTAACCGAATTGCCACTGATTTATCTCGGGTAAAATTAGCCTAAAATTTAGGTTTAAGAACTTTTAAGACCAGCTTTTGACCTTAAGTTCCTTTGAGAAACCGGAATCAGATCCCACAATAAACTACTGCAGACTATGTAAGCCCTTGTTTTATTGATACTAAAGCAAATATATTTCCCATTAATTATTCTTATTTCTGTCTATTTGCAGGAGACGACCACGGTGCATCGGTTGTGGTCGGGTTAGATAACGAGGAAACCGAGATTTGTTTCCTACAACCGCAGTCCAATCTGGTATGTATAAAGTAAAAAAATGTATTTGTTATCCCAATTTTTATATATATATTCCTTGCTTTCATTTTTTTATTATTTTTTTGAAATCCCTCTTGCTTCTCGAGATGTACTTCTTTAAGGATCAAGTTGATATTTTTCCATCCCTGTACCATATCGATTGCGAGGCAAAATATTACTTTATTTTTATTATATTTTATTGTATTTATATACTATACGAATTTCACCCTTTTTGCGAAATTCGTTACTCGTGTTTCGCACATCAACACTTTTTGTCCCTTTTCCTCTCTATCTACAGTACAGAGCGAAAAATATGACAGCCCAACACAGCATCCAACATGTGATACATAGGTATACTAATCTATAGTCAGAGGCCCAAATACCATGCAACTGTTGCAAAGCGTTAGTCAATTATCTTGTCTGCCTTTTTATCTTTCTTCCCTTATTTTGTCAGTAATTTGTAATACGCAAATTTACAGCATTTTTAAATCGTTACCTGTAAAACTTAGATTTTAACAGCATGGCGCGCTGAGTCAGTCTCCGTTTTTTGCGTCATTATGCGTCACTACCATCTCAGCACGCTTCAGAAAAGGCAATCCTATTACTATATTAAGTCCCCCCCCCAAAAAATATTTCAACTGTCGATCATTAATCTAACCTATTCATTGCATTATACAACATTCATAGTTTTACTTTGATCTTTTGTCGTAATCTAGCAGACGACTTGATGAATTACGTCGTTTGCTGGATAAATCCCAACAGCCGACATGATGAATCAATGAAATAGTCTCGCATTTCAACAGGTTATAAAATAAGCCCCATAAAAAAGTACTTGTACCACGCATCTTCACTCAAAGATTATTTTCGCTTGCCTTCTCAACAAAACAAAACCCCACCGATCCACGTATTTTAGTCTGTTGGCATTTACTGTGCAGACGGCACAATCAATCTCTCTTCGTATTTGAACAGGTACATGTATAGTTCCGAGGCGCAACACTCCCTGTCCGTATTTTTGGTAACGTCTTTCTTCATATCATCTTGATGTTCATATGATCTTAGATTGTTTTTTTTTTTTTCTTCTTTACTTTCATTCCTTTTTTGCATACCGCTTTGTGTGTGTGTTTGTGGGGGGAGGGGGGTTGAATAATAACAATAAACGGATATGAAAAAATAAAGCAAGTTTAGGGTCGCCAAATAATTTTTCTAATTCTTTCAAAGGTTATTACTTTTACTGCTTTCTAGCGTACACTTATCTCAAGTATAATTAATATAAATATACAAAGGGCGTGTCGCTTAGGCTCCCTAAAAGATAGAGACAACCTCGTGAAATGCAGCAGTTTTATATAACATTTAAGTCTACTTTCCTTTTTCTATTTCGACACACATGTATCATCTACCTGCGGCTTCTTGTGATGTCGGACACACATCGTAGGCATGTTTCCAGCTGTGGGTAGGCAACCATCACTTATAATCCACTTAGTTAAAGGTCTGAAAACACTTTTAGTTTGCAAATGAATTCGAGTTGGTTGGAAGGAATCTAACCCGAAAGATCGCTCATTTTGATCTAGGGCCTACCAAGACCCTAGTTTACGTCAACTTTGATCCAAGATAAATCAATCGCAGTCCGTTGGAATAAGTAAAACGGTTGTTTGTCAGACAAATAACAAAATTGATAATTTACAATATATATAATTTAACCAAAACGCAAGGAGAATTGATAAACAACCGGCGTGAAAACAGCACTTCTTATCTATCAAAGCACGAGGGGGAAATACTCAAAAACAAGAGCAAAGCTCATCATAACTATGTTTATTACAGCAATTTTAGTCAAACATCACCACTAAGCAGAACTTATTTTAAGCTTTTATTCGTCCAAATTATACCTCAGATTCCCTTCTATTTATTTATATATTTAGCCTTCACGTACTAAGCAAAGCGTCCTTCTTAAATAGATACATTGATTGATATCCATTTGATTAATTTAATCTATTCAAGATTAAGTGATCATCAAATGCTTTTTGATTAATGCGCCCATATATCTTCTGACGTTTATTTGTCCATAAATGAAATTCTTGCTGCTGGTGTACATATAGCCTAAATATTCGGTTTCTCGCAAATGTCTTGATAACTGTCGGGGACAGCATTCTGCGCATAAGCATACTTGTCAATATATTATGAAGTTTAACATTTGAAAGCTGGCATGCAACGGACCTACCCTCTACAAAGGTGACAGATATTATAGGCAAATTTTCAAAAAAGCCATCAAATGACTGTCCATCTATCTAAAGACAAATCTGTGAATATCTTGTGAATATCTGTCGCCCTGGTATAGAGGGTCAAACCGATCTGAGAATCAAGGTTCCTAACAAAGCAATATCGTTCTCCCCCCCCCCCCCCTTTTTTGGTTCTCACAAAAACAATTTTAGTGTTTTATAATTTTTTAAAGTAAACGCGCCTCGCAGAATATTTTATCTCGTTCACAGATCATTATGTTGATTGCTTATTTAGGGTTGCAATCAAGTGACTGTCTCCTTAAGTAGAAACTGAAATGTCTTTTTTTTACTACCACCCAAAGCGAGACCCTACTTCATATGAGACTATTTAATACACACCACCCTTGTGCAAAATGTAAGTAGTGCGTCACGGTAGATAACGTGTTTCTTCTTCTCGCGTTTCTCTAACCTGTGCACAATTTCGACTCGGGGTAAATAAGCTGTCAATAATATATCATCTTACTCTGCTTGGCTAGAGGCATTGAAAGGGTTGCAATAATCCTGGGAAACACCTGGTGCCAAGAGATTTATTCTCTGTGGTTAGCGGTATTTGCATTGGTCGTTTATCTTTATCTGTTTTCAGAACCTTGATTAGAGACCAAGACAGCCGCGCATCCAGTCTGTTTTAAGAATAATCGTCTTATCGCTAACTTCCAAAAGTAGCCGCTTGGTTACTTCCATTCCTTTTGTAATTACACTGTACTCATGTCTACTGCTCATTAATAATAATAATAAT